AGGCATTTGATGGGGAGCTGCTGATTGACAGGCTGAGGAAACGCAGTGCAGCCACTCAACATGCTCTTGGACATTCTTTCCAGCACTCTCTGAAGGGCAGCCCCTTCCTCAGCCTGGATAACTCTGAACCTGCCTTCTGAAAACACAGACCACTTCTGGCCCTTTGTGACTTCTCAAGCAGGGAGGACAAGGCTCCTTTCTCCCCTGAAGCAACTTTTCAAAGACATGAAGGCAAAAGACTCCACTCCCTAAACTTTCCTTTTGAAAACCAAACATCCCGTTCCTGAGACTCTTCCAGACCTTGGGGAGCATGAATTTGACCAGTGCTCAAGGAGAAAAGGTGAAGTTGCAGGTTTTGGAGGAAGAGCTGGACAGCAGCTGGTATGGCATGCCGAGGGTGTAAGAAAGGTTCCTTCTGACCTTGGATAATCTGGATTTCAAAATTTGGGCCCACTGTGACCATAAATGCCTTTAAATGTCTCAGATCTTATCCATATTTGGAGTTTGGCAAAAATGTACCGTATTTTATCTTTTGGATCACCACAGTCTTACCAAAACACTTGCTCTGATTGGTGGCCCGGTCAACAAAGACTTTGGCTGAGATGACGTGGCCGAAGGGGACAAACATCTGGAGGATTTCTGAGTCCGTGAACTCCTGGGGCAGGTGGTAGATGAAGATGTTGCAGCCGTCAGGGCCTGGATGACAGCAGACACAGAGGAAGAGCTCAGGAATTGGGAAACACAGGGCAAGGGCCCCACGGAAAGCAGGCCCTGAGGGGCGGACCCTCCCATCCCAGCCCCCACATGCAAGCCAGGGCGCCAGACACCTCATCCCCACTTGCTTTCTTCCCACACATAGGGCCAGAGTCAGGCTTGGAGCAGGCAACAGGGAGTCCCCAGCCCAGGACCAGGGCGCTCCTCTCCCTAAAGGCTCTGGGCCGGGAGAAGGGCGCCCAGGCCGCACCTTCCCGTTGCTGCTGCTGCTGCTGTTGCTGCTGCTGTTGCTGCTGCTGCTGCTGCTGGGGAGGAGGTGGGGGCTGCTGGGCGACCAGGGTTGGGGGAGGCTGCGGGAACGCAGGTGCGACCAGGCTGTAGGCTGCTGGGTAGGCTGCTGGGGGGGGCAGTGGAAGAACGGAGAGCTAGTGGGGGTCTCGGGACTCCCCTGGCCCCCGGGGCCCTCTGGCCAGCCCTGTCTCCCTCTGCCTAGCCCAGGCCAGTGGGGGGGACAGGCCCTTGAACTCTGGGTATACTGCCCCTAACGTAGGACCCATGGGACCCATCAGGAAGCCCCAGGGGGTGGCTGGCAGGGCAGGGTGCCTGGAAGATCAGCTTCTCTCCCTTGCTGTCCCTCCTGTCATGGGCCCTGGGCTCCTCACCTGTGTAGTGCTGCATCCCTGCGTAGGCCTGCTGCAGGGGGTCCACAGGTGCCGCGGGGCTCTGGGCTGGGGAGAGCAGCACCAACTGTGAGGGAGGGGGAGGACGCAGAGCAAAGGCCATGCAGGTGGGGAACACAGCCTCCCAGGGCGTGGGGTGTGACAGGATAGCACGCAAAGGCACAGGGTGGCAGGAAGAGCGCAGAGCGTGGAGTCTGACTGCCTGTGCAACCCCGGACTTCTCTAACCCTCAGCTTCCCTGGCTGAGAATGGGCAGGAGCCTCTGAGGCCAAGGATGCCAGAGCAGAGAAAGCACCTTATGACCCTGAGGCCTGCAGAGGGAGGGTGCACCACAGCTGTCTGTGGGCAGTGGGAGCAGTGGCTTTGATAGATGCTGGGGAAAGAGGGGACAGGCAGAGACCCCCACCTGGGTAGGGGTGAACCCCGTTGGGATACAGAGCATCAGGGGCAGGTTGCCCGGTGGGCTGGGTGGGCACCGGGCTGTAGCCGTTGACGCCCAGGGCAGCAGGGATTGCCGAGACGGGCGTTGCGGCGATGGCAGGAGGGGTGCTGGTTCCTGGGGAGGAGAAAGCGGCAGAGACAGAGCAGAGAAGCGGACACACACACACACACACACACACACACACAAACACAGAGAACCAGTCAGCAAGGCTGCAGGCATTAGGGAGGAAGCAGGCCACTCTATTGCCCCTGAGTCCCTCCCAGCCCCTCTGGCTTCCCTGAGCAGTGCCCTACGTCCATCCCCACCACACACACACTGACCTGTCCCACTTGTGCCCAGCCCAGCCTGGCCTACCTACCCTGGGCTTTACCTGAGGATGGGGTGATGGGGGTGGCAATGAGGCCATTGGCATTGATGGCGGCCATGTGCTGCATCTGCACGGCGGCCATGGTGGCCATGGGGCTGAGGTAGGCACTGTGAGCCGCCACCAGGGCTGCCTGCTGCTGCATCAGCTGGAGGGAGGGGAGGAGAGGACAGTGGGGCCGGGTCCTCCCACCCCCACCCCCATGCCCAGCCTGGCTCCCCTCCCAGCCACGGACCGGACCGTGGCACTGGAAGGGTGGGGGCAGGTCCTGGAGGCCAGGAGGAGGCGGGGAGGAGCCCAGCCCAGGCCCCCGGGGTCGGTGCTCACAGCCTGGGTGTAGGCGCTGTAGGCTCCAAACTGCAGGGCGATGGGGCTGAACATGCCCAGCTGGGTAGCCACCTGCTGCATGCGGCGGAGACCTCGCTCCTTCTCCGTGTCGGCAAACTTCACCACCAGGCTGGATGAGGCACCCTGGGCAGGGGCCACGTGGCGGTTAGAGGGACAGAGGAGTCGGGACCTCTCCTGCTCAGAACCCTCAAGGCCCGGCCTCGGGTCCATCCCTCCAGGCTTGGCCTCTTGGGGAGGACAGCCATCAGGGCGCCTCTGTCCAATGAGAAGATTTTCATCCCAGCCTCCCCCTGTGCCGGGATGGGCGAGAGGCTACAAAAAGTTGAGGAACTTGAAGGCACGTGTTTGGAAAGGGAATGGCCTACTGAAATCAGAAGGGCGCCTCTGGCTTCTCTGTAAGGATTCCAAGCTGGAAATCATCCCCAGCCGATATTTAATCTCGGGCTGGTCATCCCATCTAGCTGCCCCAGCCCCCACACCACGATGCCCACCCCCACACCCTGACCCTCGTGGTATGCTCAGAGCATGAAGCCTCAAGTTTTAATACCACCTCGAGCTAAATAAAAACCAAACCCAAGGAACATGTGCAGAGATTTTGTAGAATTCTGGACTCTAGAATGCAATTCTCTATTCAGTGGTGCATCCTCTCAGCCAAGGCCCAGCTAATCGCTTGCCCAGCCTCTGCTGAGGGAGCTTCAGAGTCAGCTAGGTCCATCTGAGAAACACACTCTGCTGGAGAGCCCCCCCACGAGCACGGTCAGTTGGCCCAGGGCTAATGTGCAGAGGGCATGTGGGGCCTCTAAGCAAGTGTTCCAATGCCCAGCCAGGGAAGGTGGGGGGTACAGGAAGGTGGGCGAAGAGATAGGAGATGGAGAGGCTGAGGAGTGGAGGAGGCTGGAGAGGAGGGCAAGGCCTGTGGACTGGAGGTGAGGGGTCAGAGGTGGGGGGATGTCATCTGAAATGTGAATGTGGGGGTGCTCACCGGCAGGGTCCGGCTGCTGTGAAGGGTGTTGATGGCCGCTTGGGCCTCGGCGTGGGTCTGGAACTTGACAAAGGCGCAGCCTACAGCATCCGAGAGCAAGGAGGAAAGGGTGAGTGCTCACCCTCAAGGGCCCCCAACGTTGCTGTCACCAGGGAGCCAAGGGGAAAGGAGCAGAAAGGCCAGAGGGCCTGTCTGGGGAAGGGGGAGCCACTGGGTACCTTTGCTGGTGCCATCTGGCCCCCGGAGCACAGTGCACTCGTCTATGGTCCCAAAAGGCTCGAACATCTTCCTGACGTCCTCATCTGTCTGCTGCTTCCCTAGCATCCCCACAAAGAGCTTCCGGTCTTCTGGGGGGTAAGGTACAGGACGAGGGGCATGTTCAGGGCTCCCTGGCTACTTTCCCCACTCTATTCCTGCCAGGACAGGCACAAATCCTGCCCTTCACCTTTGGCAACTCCCTGGAGCTCCAGGCACTCCCCTCACCCTGAGACTAAGGCTACTAGCAGTGACGCCAGTGATTTTGGGGGAAATGGGATACAGTTACATAGGGTGCTCAGCCCAGTTCTGAAGGGCTTGCACTTTCCTCTGGGCTTCAGTTTGGCCATCTCTACAATGGGCTAGATGACATCCCCCCTGACAATAACCCCCACCTTGACCGGGAACCCTTTGGAATTCTCAGATTTCCTTCCTCAAGAGAGGCTGCCCCTCAGTTACTCTAAGCCCTGGGCCTGAGTTCCAAGCCCAAGGGTACAGAACCTACCTCCTCGGCTCTCGCTGTCGGCCGGCTTGACCTGGATCGGCCTGTTCATCTAAAAGGAGAAAAGAGAAGGCAACTGCTGGGGACCTCCTCTGACCCCGACAAGAGCCACCCGCCCCCCCCCCCCAGGCCGGGACCTCAGAGAGGCTAGAGGAAGCAAGCCCCAGGCCCTAAACTGCTGATGGGAAGGAAGGGATGGGCCTAATCTTGTTTAGGATTAGGACCCGGGGGAGATTAGAGGCAGTGGGAGGTCAGGATATCTAGGAGGATGCTCCTGGGCCCACTCCAGGCCCCGGTGAAGCCCCAGGTGACCTGGCCAGGGGCAAGTGATGCTCTCTTTAGGGGGAGAATGGAACTTCCCATAGGACCTGTCTCCCCAGATGGAGCCCAACCAAGAGGCTATTCAGCAAGAGCTGTCTTAATTTTACAAAGTAGGGGCAAGAGAGGCCTCTCCAGTGAGCAGCCCCAAGGAAGACTATCGACCCAGGGACACCCCACAGATGCCCCGACTTCCTTCTGACCCCAGAGGTGTGTCTGCTTCTCTATCTGCCCCCCTACACCCCTTGACCCCAGGGGGAAGGCACTCGGGCAGCACAAAGGGAGCAGATGCCCAGTCTCCGTGGCAACGGGAGAATGCGCGCCATGGCAACCGCCCACTCAGCCTGATTTATCCCTCCCGTCGCCCTGGCGACCGTGGTGACGTCATCACTTCGGCTGCTCCACACACCCGGAGAAGGAGTGGGGGGGGGGTGAGAACAGGGTATGCTGGGGGTGGAGGATTTGGAGGGGGCTGGGAGGTGGGGGAGGGGCCCAGGACAAGCTTCCTGATTCGTGCTGAGCAGGCTCTGCAGGGGCCACACTGTCCCTTCTTCCTCTGCCTTCCTCCTCCAGATCAAATCCTTGGTGTCTCACAGCTGAGAGGGCTCCGAAGGAAGAACTGCTGTCCCATGCTCTTTTGACATTCTCCCTGTACCCCGAAGTCCTCCAGAGCTCTCCCTTCTCTTCACTCCTGCAGCATCTCCCTTTGTTTGGTCTCCAGTGGAAATGCAGACACCCCCCAGTTCCCCTCTCCATGATCTTGCCTGGTGAGGGGACTTAGCAATGACTTCTGCAGGTTGATTTCCTTCACTGGGGGCGGGGGGCATCTTCAGAACTGGAGGGAGGGGTAGGACTCAGTATTTCGTGTCTGAAAATATTTTGCTACTGAGGGGCCATCCTAGCTCCAGTGACCAAAAATACTAAACAAAAGAAACCATTTGTTGACATTCCGAGGGGAGCTACGGGTATCCTCAGGAAAGGCACTGGACTGGGGGTCAGGAGATCCAGGTTCAAGGACTAGCCCTGCCACTCACTAGCTGGGTGACCTTGGACAAGTCACTTCTCTCCTCAGGGCCTCAATGTTCTTCTCTGTAAAACAGTGGGGCAGATCAGGTGGTGGTGAATCAGGTTCCCCTCAGCTCTAGTGTTCCAGCCTTTGGGGATCTCGTGTGTCGTCACTTCACACAGAGAAGTACAGGACTGGTAGTGGGCCCCTTGCCCCTTCTCACACCAGACCCTCCACCCTGGTATCCAGCCATTCCAGTCAGTGTGACGGGACTCTGGCTGGTGAGGGAGCCCAGGCCTGGATCAAACCTAAGCCGCACCTCAGTGGACACTCCTGTCCTGCCCCACCCCCATTTATGGATCTAAGAGCAGCTGGCTGGGGGGAGGTGGGTAACAGTCACCCAAATCCTCCAGCCAATCTGCCCCCAGCTTTATCCTCCACCAATCTGGGATTATCCCATCGAGTTTCAATCTCCTCAGGGGCTTGCACCCGCATGTGTGTGTGTGTGCGTGTGTGCGCGTGTGTGTAAGAGAGATGTGTGTGTGTGGGGGGAGTGGGGGTTAGACACCCAGGGCGCTCAGTTTTGCACGCTGTAAAGCAATCGGGAAGGGCCGCAAGGGCACCTCAGCCCCAGCCCCACACCTCCTACAGAAGACGTAGACTCCACACCAGGGTCTTTCCATGGCATCAGGGAATTCATGAGTTGACACTATCCCTTTCCCAAAATGCCCCTAGGGATCTGAGGTTCTAGGCAAGGGCGGGGAACCTGAGACCCAGAAAGAAAGGATGCCATTCCCTTACTGCACGGGCTCCCAGGCACAGAAATAGCACCTCAATAAATATCCACAGCTGATAGGGATTCACACAAAGACACACAGAAGCGCACAGGCTGTGGCGCAGGTCACGTTGACAGAAGGTCCCCGACACAGCTTCCCTCAGAGCCGGCCCCCCCCCCGCCCCCGCACCAACCCATGCCCAGGCTCTCCTTCTTGGCCTGGCACTTCCTGTGGGAAGCTCGGTCTTTGTTAGTTCAGCTTGGGCACACCTGCCCCCTCCCCTGAGTCCAGCTGGGCCCTGTTTACCTGGCAACCCAGGCTCCGGTGCCTCTCTTCCCTAACCACCACCAGCCAGGTGATAAGCCCTCCTGAGGGCCTCCCAAAGAAGAGGAGGCTATTTATACTCACTCAGACTGCTCCCCCACTGACTTGGTCACTCATAAGGCCCTTATCCTTCTCACCAATAGCAAAGACCTCACTTCCAGCAAGCGCTCCTATTTCCAGAAAATCTAATTCTCCCGAGGACACAGGCCTGCTGCTCTGCCACCCCTGGCTCCTGACTCCCTTCCACCCGGTGTCCCAGACCACACATGGATCCTTTCCACAGGGCCCAAATTCACTGGCCCAACAGCGAGCCAACAGGCAGGACCCATGGCCCCAGAGTGGGAGTTCGGCCTAGGGAGAGGGCATAGGGCAGGCTAGGCAGAATTAGTCCCTCCCACCACCACCTCCAGGAGGCCACACCCTCCCGCAGGAAGAATCCATGGGCCTTTGGCAGAGCCTGTCCTGGGACCACTCAGGGGAGAGAAAAGGAAACGGGGCTTGGCAGCTACAGGTCCAGCCTCCATTCTTCCTCTGCAGCTGAAGTATCACCCTAATATAGCCGGACTGTGCAGATTTCGGGGTGACAGAGATGGGGAGGAAGAGGAGAGAGCTAAATGCTCACATTAAAAAAGAGCCTATATTAGGGCACCTGGCTGCCTCAGTCGGTGGAGCATGTGACTCTTGATCTTGGGGTTGTGAGTTCGAGGCCCACATTGGCAGTAGAGATTACTTAAACATAAAATCTTAAAAAAAAAAAAAAGCCGTATTAGGAGGGTGTGGAGGGAGGTTAGACAGAAGGAAGAACATCCCACAGAGGGGATGCACTAAACAGGCGTGCGTGCGTGCGTGCGTACACACACACACACACACACACACACACACTGAATGACTATTTGAGGAAACAATGCTGCCAGGAACGCAGGTGGCAGAGAAAAGACCTGGGGGATACAAAGGGTCAGGCAGAGCCTGGACATAGACATCTGCTCCCCTAGACGCCCCAAGCCCCCAGCACAAGGGTCCCCTTGGAGGATAGGACCTCCCCCCTCCATTTCCTACTAGAGGCTCTGTCAGGCCAATCTGGATCCTGTCCCGGAGGCAAAGGCTGAAGTGGAGGCCTCAGTGTCACCTGGGAGCTCACTCAGGGGCGGGGCTAGACAATCATTAACCAGGCGCCCTCTTCCCTCACCTGCCACCCTGGGCCTATATTTTTTCCAGGAAGGGGGGGGCAGAGCCCTTCTGCACCCTGACAGTCAGAGCCCTGCCCGAGCGCACAGACAGCTGGAGGTGGCAGACCCAGGCCAGGTGCCTGCCTAGCAAGATGGCAGGAAAAGAAGAGATGTTGTGACTAAGATGAAAACTACTGAATTGTCAGAAGTCTCCACAGAGAAAAGGAAAGAAAGGAAAGTTGGAATGTGACGTGATGGAAACCAGGCTTCCCAGGGAAGCGTGTGCCCACACCCACGCAGCCAGGCTGGCGGGCGCACGCGCACACATGTGCACACGCACGCGCACACACAGGCTCCCCGGATCCCAAGGCCGCTCTCTCTCTCACAACCGCGCGCGCGCGCACACACACACACACACACACACACACACACACACACACGAACACACACAGATCCTTAATGGCATAGGCCAGGGCTGTTCTGGTGCCTTGCCACCAACTAGGATGAGATGGAGGGGAGAAAGCCAGTCTGACTGTGGGATTTGCTCTCTTAAGTGCATTCAAGGGTTGAGGGCCACAGAGGGAATGGGTCACGGACCTACTGAAGGTTCGAAGTTGGGAGTGACTGAAGCAGTTCTGATTTTCCTGGATGCCCCCACCCTCTTTGCCCGTCTGTTTTGTCTACTTCCTTCCCAGGAAGGAATGGAGAATCAGCCTTTTTCTCCATGCCCCACATAGGGGAAGGGGTAGAGGCTATGACACGTGTGTCTCCAGCACCCAGGCCGGGCTCAGCAAATGTTTGCCTGAGGGATGGATGGGGTTAGCTCTCAGTACTACTTCCTAGGGCTCAGAGGGTGGGAGACAACAGAAGCACATAGACATGGGAATAGAATGGCACAACATTTCCCCCCAGGCTGCATGGCAGGAGGCAGCCTGAGATTCTCTATCCCTGCCAGCCCAGGCCTGGGACAATCTGCACAGCTATCTCAGAAGAAGAGAAAAAGAGCTCTGACTTTTCAGGAGAGAGGCCATGCCGGAGGGCACCCCTGCCGACCTGGGCACACTTTGGGGGTCAGACTTGATCCTCCACAATGATGTCTGCCCGTGCCCTTGCTTGCCCCAGCCCACAACCCCCCCGGGCTCTGCTCCACCCTGATGCCCAAAGCTCTTCCTAGGAGATGTGAGGTGAGTCTTTGAGAGCTCAGAAGCCTGCACAGAGATGCTAGTCCAGCAGGTACCCACTGTCCCAGTCACAGTCAGACATTCCACCCCCAGAGCCACAAAAGAGTGCCTGGGTGCCTCCTGCTTACTTTGCCACACACTTGGTATCCGGAGTCTCTCCCCATGCCTCACAACCAGCTAAGCTCTCTAAGTGTTGTCCCATGAGCAGGCTGGAAAGTGGGGAAGGGGCTGCACCTGCTCTTTACAAAGGTCACATTTGCTCTGCTAACCGCTGTCTTCCTTCTCTCCAGGTAGAAGAAATGAATGCATCTCCAGCAAGAAAGAGGGCTGTTAGAAGGAGAGGGGGGCCTCCTGGTGATGAGAGGAGGTAGGAAATGAGTTCTGTATCTCAGAAAGGTGGTGAGCCCCCTGCCCCTTCTAGCACCCTTCTTAGAAGTGCCCTATGAATATGGGACTCACCCCTGGAAGCGTCTTCTGTTCGTGCAGGGCGCTCTGGGCCTTCAGGGCTGAATCGCGGGCACAGTATGTCAGGAAGGCACATCCTGAGGAGGGGCAGGGGCAGAGAGACCGGGTGGGGGTGAGTCCCTGATATCCCCTCCCTAAAAGGCTCCCCCAAGCCATGACACTGAGGACTGGGAGGCTTTTCTCTTCTTGCTCCTCTCTGGCCGCTGGAGTGGGAAGGTGTTTGAGAGGGGCCAGACATTTTGCCCCAGGGAGTCTCTGGGCTGAGTCGTTGGGAGAGGGGGCTTTGTGTGGGAGGAGAAGGGGCATGTGGTTGCCAGACAAGTATGTGCAGTGTGGTTTCTCTCTTCCTCTGCTGGCCTCTTTTCCCCTTCTCCTTTGCCTCTACCTCCCTCCATCTTGGTCCCCATCACCCTTCTCCTCTCCCATTTTCCCTATTTCCTCATCTCTCTCCTACTCCTTGGGAGTCAGGTGGATGGTGAAGAGTGGGATAGAGGAGAAGGAAAAGGGAGAGCAGTTCACTGCAAGTCCCTAGGCCAGTTGACAGGGGAGGCAGTGGGCCCCCCCCCCCCCCCCCCCCAGTGCTTGGGCTCTCCCAGTCCTGACCGGAGCCTGACCCTGCTTAGCAAGAGTGCACAGCCCTTGGACAGGCCCAAGGAATGCCTCTTGGCCAGCCTCTCTCAAGTTCCCGCCCCCACACTTCCCAGATCTATACCAGTCTCTGTCCTCCACACCCTGTTTCTCAGGTCCCTCTCTTGGGTCCTGGAGCTGCCCTGCCCAGTCCATGTCCACTCTTGCCAGGGTGACCCCCACCTCAATAGTGTCTGAGACGATTAAGATTCCCAGGCGAGTGTGCATGCATGTGCACACACACACACACGCATGTGCGTACACACACACACACACACACACACACACACACACACACCTGCCTGGCTCCTTATCTCCCAAACCAGATCTCTTGGTCCTCCATCCTCCTTTGAGTTCATCCACGACATCACCCTCTCATCTCTGGAGTCCACATCTCTGCATCCCCTCCACAACTCTTCCCCTAAAGAGGCCATCCTAAGGCCTGCATCCGAGTCCCCTGCTCACCCTGGCTGTTCTCTTCCAGCTCCTCCATCCACTCCTTAGCCCCTGAACTCTTTCCTTCCACACTGGCCCTTTCCAGCTGCTCCAGCCCTCCAGGCTGGCTTCCCCTCCTCCCAGCCTCCCCTCCCACCCCTGACATCTCTCCAGCCTGGCCTGACCCCTCACCCTTGTGCAGCCCGGTGTACTTGTCCTTGATGACAGTCAGCTCGAAGATCCGACCAAACTGTTCGAAGATGGGCTTCAGGTCCTTTTCCTCCAGATGCCTCGGGATCTGCCCCACAAACAGCTTGATGGCATCCGGCTCCTTCATTGGGGCGGCCCAGGAGGAGGGGCCGAGGGGAGCAGGGAGAGGCCCAAAGGCCAGGGGGAAGCTGCCTAGCAAGGAGGCAAGTGGTGGGGGCCGGGGCCCAGCCGGGGCTGGCTTTCCCTTTGGCCCCCAACCACAGTGCTGAGCAGAGGGGCAGCTCTTCACACAAAGGAGGCCCAAGGAGTTGAGGGCTAGGGGTCAGGGGTCTAGGCAGACACTGTCATGCCACCAGGGGGCATAGCCCAAACAAATGATCTCCCTCCCAGAGATCTGGCAAATATCCCAGAATGGGGGTCAGTGTGCTCAAGATCTGGAGGATTAGGGTAGTATCTGGGGTTCTGGGAACTGGGGATTAAGAGCTGGAGTCAGGGAAAGGTCCTGAGGAGGGTGATGGAGAAGGAGGGTTAGGGGTTAGGGGCCTGGTAGGTTGCCAGCAGCGCCAGGGTTGGGGGGGGGGGCACTCCTGATGTGGGGCAGGTGGAGCTCTCGTTGGCTTTCCTGGGAGGACACCTCCCCTGTGGCTGATCCTTCTGCTGGGTCCGAAGATCCCTGATGCCAGATGCTTGATCTCTGATGGCGGCAGGGCTCCGGGGGTCCCTTCTGCCCTGCCGCCCCCCTTCAGGTCCTCCCCTCAGCCCCCCTCCCACCCCCCCCCCGGTCCCCGGGCCCGGGTTGCTGCTGGGCGGCTCCCGCTGCTGGGGCTGCCTGCTTTCCCGGTCACCTGGGTCCCGGAGCTCTGCTCTCCGGCCGCGCTCTCCTCAACAAAAACCTCCCCCCTCCACCCCCCCCCTCCCCACTCCCACCTCCTTTCCCCTGACATCAGTGATGTCAGTCTCAGGGGTGGAATACAAATTCTCTACCCCGGAGAGGGACGCACAATACAGACAAGAGCCACGCCCTCTTTCTATCTCCTTCCTCCCTGACTCCCTTCCCACCTCCAGAAGAGCAGCTGGTCCTGTTGATAATAACCCTCCCCCCCATCTTACTCCCCAATCACGAGCTGGGCAAGACACTAAGATGGAGAATTTATAGAGGAGCCCTAAAGTGGGGTCCATTGTTCCGGGGGCTGGAGCTGTCCCCGGTGCTGGAAGCGAAGACCCCCAGGAGAGGGGAGCAGGGGGGGAGGAGGACAGGGGAGCCGGCATCTGGGGAGACTTAGTGTGGGGAGCAAAGGAAAGAATCTGGGGAAAAGAAAATGGCATAGAAAGAGTTGGGAAGGTTGGGAGTGGAGGGAGGAGGGAGACGTAGATGGGGCAGGAAGCAGGTCTCAGAGCTTGGGGGAAAGGGCAGAAGGGGACCCAGAGAGGAAAGATGGAAAGGGGGGGTGGGGAAGGAGAGAGCGGGGTGAAATGAGCACAGAGAGAGAACTGTGTATTTTCCAGAAAAGAATCCAAGAAAAACTATGTCTTGCTGGCATTTGCCAACGCCCCCTTCTCTCCCTCTGGGTGGTTTGTGTGTGTAAGTGCGTGGGCAGGGAGGCAGCGGTGGTGAGGTGGTAACGACTGCGAGCGAGAGCTATCACTTGTAAGCTCCTTGAAGACCAGGGCACCGTTTAATTCAGCATTTTACTGTTTGGGGTCTAGCACAGTGTCTTGATCATACATAGTTGCTTAATAATTATTTTTTGAATAAACAGTTGATGCAAAGAACCTCTGATAAGACCAAATTCCCGATTCCTTTAAGGGGAAGAACCACAACTAGCAAGCTCCGGTTAAGGGCAGAAAAAAAAAAAATTTCTCCTCCCTTTGCTCCCTTCTCCTAGTTAGGTTCCTTGAGTAGGACTCTCAATGTGAACCAGGTAGCAAAAAGGGATGCGGGGAGCACATTTGGGGGCCGTTACTCTCCTAAACCACTCTTCTTCTACAGATGATCTGTTTCCCCCATAATCTCAAGGGAGCTTAACTCTTTCATGCACAGGACCCACTCACAGCACCCTTCAGTGCAGGGAGTACCTGCTGACATCAAGTCTCCTGGACTGGGCAGTCCTTGTGGAATGCCCCATCTACTGTCAGTCCCTTCTTCACCCCAGAGTGGGGTTGATGTCTCCACAGTGGCACTGGTGTCTCCGAAATCCATCCAACTGAATCCCTGCCACCCCCATTCCTCAGCTATCACAGCAGGCAAGCTTCTCTTCAGGAAGGGAAGTAATAGTAATGGTGCTTAGATGACATGGTGTCCCAGAAATTCTTCCAAGTGCTTTACATTTACTAATGTGTTTAACCCTCAGCACCACCCTATGATGTAGGTTCTACTATTACTTCCAAATAAAGATGAGGGAACCAAGGCACCAACAGATAAGACGGCTTGCCTTATATCACAGAGCTAAAAAGAGGCCTTAGTGAGGGTGGAGCCCAGGAAGTCTAGCTCCTGAGTCCTGAGTTTAACCCCCATATCATATGCTCCCCTTGGGAATTGTAAGAGTTGTTAAGCCTGGCTTTCTTCCTCTTGTGCCTTCATTTGAGTGCTGTGTAATAGATGGCCTTCTTTCTACTGCTTTTGATTCTCTGTTGACCACCTTCCATCCTTCCTTAGTCTGGGTTTGAGTGTGTGTGTGTGTAAATATGATCACAGTTCATCATATGGATGCCCAGGTCCTCCCAGGTGGGCCCCTAAGATGGGCACAGGGGTGGGTGGGAGGGAGATGGTAGAGGACCCAGTACTGGGTGGTCAGAACACACCATGGCAGTGCCAGGGAACCAAGAGTGCAAACACACATGGAAAGCAACTTTCCACTCCCTACTCCACCCTCATTGTTTCTTTTCTTGCCTCCTAATCTGATCTAGGTATTTATGGAGATGCTAAACAGATCACACCCTCTGAGGATGGAGCCTAGGAAGACCCCATGGCCCTGTTGATCTCGTTACTCTGTGTCTTGTCAGCAGATCTGCCGCCCTGCTGCTCATTCAGGCTTGGGGCTAATCACATTAATTGAAATATTAAACATTTACAAAAATGAATTATAATGAATTCCCCTTCCTCCTCCTCCCAGTCAGCAACTGGGGAGACAGCTGCAGGCAGCAAAATGCCTCCAGCCTTTTGCTTAGTTTGTGGTCCCCAGATGGAAGGTTTCTATCTGAAAGGAGAGGCAGAGTTAAGGGGAGAAGAGGAGGGAGCTTGCTTCAGGGCATCCTTGCTGGGTGACTTTGGGCACATCTCTGCCCAGTGACATAACTCTGGGGGGTTAATCCTAGGACTCAGAGGCCCATTCTGGGAGGTTGCTCTCCAGGAGGAAATGAGGCTTCCAAACCTTACTTCTTCCAAGGTCCTTCCTCTTTCCACCATCCCCAAGCTCCCCCTCCTTCTTATTCTTCTGCACTCAGTGCTAAGCTGCCCTACATAAAAAGATTATTGACTTTATAAAGGAAGAGCTTGACTCCTGATTTTAGATTCTTAGAAAACGGATAATTGGGATATATTTCAAAGGGAAAAAGGTAGTGGTGGTATATGTGGGCAGAGTGGCTAGTCACCAGATACTTGTTGGCCTCACCAAATGAAAGCAGAGTGAAGCCACGTGCTGCAGAAACCATGACACTGTACAAAGAATCTATTGTTTAATCTTCCTTCCCTAAAGTGGCTGCTGTCTCAGATGGAGAGGTAAGACAGTGAGGACTGAGGTGCTGTGAGAAAACAAAATTAAGTAGAAGTAGCCTCTCTTATTTACACATAGTGGTACTTGGACCAAGGGAAGTGCTCAGTCAAGAAAGGCTTGATTGATTCTCAAAGTACAAGAAGATGACAGACTAGCAAAAGAAGGACATTACTTATTTTATACACAGGGTGGGAAGATGGAGAAAGTTTTACATATTTACGTATGCGTGTGTGTGTGTGTGCACGTGTGTGTGTCCGTGTGCATGTGTAGATTTGTCAGTCCAGCCCAGCATTGTTTAATAGAAGGCAAGCCATAGACATAACTTAAATTACTAGTAGCCACATTAAAAAAGCTAAAGAAACAAGTGAAATTACTTCTAATAATAGATTTTATTTAACTATAGATTCTCAATATTATTCAATGTTTATATGATATGTCCAAAATATTCAATCTGTCATCAGTATAAAGATTATTCATAAGATACTTTGCTTTTTTTAAACCACATGCTCAAAATCCAATGTGTATTTTACACTTAATAACACATCTGACACTTCCAGCAACATCTGAGTGCTCAGTAGCCACAGGTGGCTCACGCTGACCTTACTGGATAGTGCAGTTTAAGAGGTTCCCCCATTAGCTTCTGTGGGGTTGGAGGGGTGGGAAGAAACAGGTCTTGGCCAACAGGAACCGTCACCTCTGATTAACCTCTGCTCCTGTCTGAAAAAAATCACTGTGACAGATGGCAGCTTATCTACCTCTCTTCTAACCCTTTCTCCTAAAAACCAGACAACAACCGCATTGATTACTAACCTGGATGAGATTCCTGGGAAGAGGCCTGTAGCTCACCACCTCATCTATCTTCCAGGGTTTGTTTGTGTGTTTGTTTCCTGGCTTAGGAACTGTCCACATTTTTACTTCTTCCCTTCACTCTTTGCTGAGAAGGATAGAGGTGGACCACTGAGAGACCACCTCCAAGGCCAGGGTCGAAATGCTGGCCTAGTTTCTCCTTGGGTGGTTGTCCACAAATCTGAAAAACCAGCCTCCCTTCTGAGGTCTTTTCCCTGTCTCCCAGGAGACCTCTGGTGGGCATGATGTCTGGGGGTTAGAAACTCAGCACCGTGTGTATACACGAACAGGCTCCTGCCCTTTCCTATTTGCAGCTCTCTGGCTTTGTGTTTCACTTTCCTTTCTTAATTAGATATTAAAAGAACACACCTTGAAGACCAACTGCCTTTCCCCTCCTCTGTTCACTTGGGAGTGGAAGAGATGATTTAGAATGTATGAGCAGCAACCTAATCTACAAAAGAAAGTCCGTCCAAGAGGGGAAACCTTTGGCACGATATCCCCAGGTCCTTTCCCGTATCTTTAGTGTGAGAATGTCCCTTCCATTGCAGCACTCTGTTCACTCCGTCCTATGGGATGCTTTCATGTTAAGTGTCTACAGGTCTGAAGGAGGGGTTTGGCTTTGGGGCCGGCTGAAAGGGAACAAGCTTGAATTCTCTCTACTACTAGGTTTCAACAGCTGCCAAAAAAGGGACAGGGTCAGAAACCAGATTCTGGGAGACTCTGCCTTAGGAATCCCTTTTTCAGTTTTGCTTCAGAGCCAATTAAAAAAAAAATTATTTGAGGTTGGGTGGGGTCAAGAAGAAGAAGGGCTCGTTCCATATACAGAGAAGAGGGGCAATTAGCCCCCCAATCTGGGGAAGGAGATCCTTTGGAGACCCTCCCGAGTTTATTCCTGGGTTTCAGAGTGGCCCGCATATTCCTTCCCCCAGCCCCTCCCGGCGGGCTGGTGAGGGCCGGACTTGGGGGGGGCGGGGCCTCTCCGCCCGCTTGGTCCGTCGCCTTGACGACCTGGGCAAGATGGCGACGCTACAGGGCGGGCTTCTGGGGCCGGACCCCGGGGCGCTAAGCCCGGCGCAACAGGAGCAGCTGCGCAACTTCAAGGTGGGTGCGCCCCGGACTCCCGCCTCCGTCGAAGTGCAGCTCCCCTAGAACAAGGGCTGCAGACCGGGAGGGGGTCAGGGAGGAGGGCGCGGGAGCCTGTTCTCAGATGAACTGGCGGAAGGCTGGGAGAGACCCCCGGCGGAACGAACCCTGGGCTTCTGGGGCTCCGGACGGAGCCTGACCGGCGCCTGAAAGTGCAGGAAGAACCACCGCAGAGGTCTGGCCAGTGAAATGGACCGAAATTACTGCCGGAGACAGTAACTTAGTACAGACAAGAACTTCCGGACGGTGGAGACCCGACCTTAGCTATGGCCTCCGAGTCTGACCGAGCTGGAGGTGTTGGTCTATAATAAAACAGGCGGCTTAAAATTTCAAACATCCCGGGAAAAGACCCAGGTCAGATGCACACCTAGTTTCCCCAAGGCCTTCCCCAAGGCCCGGGACTTGAACCCTGAAATCTGTCTCCTCGTGGAGCGTGACCTTTTGCTCTCCTCCCCCTAGATTCAGACTCGGATTGCTAATGAAAAATACCTGAGGACCCACAAAGAAGTAGAGTTGCTCATAAGTGGTTTCTTCAGGTAGGTGGTTTTCCTACCAGCCTCGACAACTAGTGGGAAGTAGTACCAAATCTTGGTTGGGAGAGATGAGTGAGTGCTGCCTTTAGGGTCAGAAAGGTAGGAAAAAAAAATAAAATAATACATATACATACATATATGTTAAACTAACTAAATAAAAACATATATATATATGGCAGACAATATTTTTTTTAAAGATTTTGTTTATTTATTTGACAGAGATCATAAGTTGGCAGAGGCAGGCAGAGAGAGGAGGAAGCAGGCTCCCTGCTGAGCAGAGAGCCCGATGATGGATGATGATGCAATGCGATGCTGATGATGCAGTGCGATGCGGGGCTCCATCCCAGGACCCTGGGATCATGACCTGAGTGGAAGGCAGAGGCTTTAACCCACTGAGCCACCCAGGCCCCCCTGGTAGACAATATTTTAAGATTGAGTTTTTTCGGGGCGCCTCGAGCCCCGCATCAGGCTCTGTCAAATAAATAAATAAAATCTTAAAAAAAAAAAAAGATTGAGTTTTTTCTGAGATATGTGGCACCTGGTGTGTTTCTTAGTTACCTCTAGAGGTTTTCTTAAGTTATCTCTAAATTCTCAAAAATATTAATAGTCATTTTAGCTGGAAGGATAAATATATATCTTCTGACGCTTGAAGAGGTAATTTGGCATTGAGAAACTCAGCAGGCAGGCACTGGGTGTAGAACACTATTTCTCCATCAGAGGAGCTTAACAAGATCACTAGAACTTAAAAAAACATTCAGATGTCTGGCCCTTTTCTCCCTGAGAGCCTTGTTGTGGAAAGACCAGTGGTTGGAAGCTATTGCCCTGTACGTCTTGGGGAAGAGACTATTTTCCACCATATCCTAGAGCGTGTTTTTCTTTCCCCAACATTGCCCTTCAGCATGGCATTTGTTTGGGTGGAAAATTCTCCTAATGGGATGAAGGGCAAAGAACTGTCAAAAAAAAAAAAAAAAAAAAAGGCACAACAACAGAGGAAAACAATAGAGCTGTCTCAAATACTGTTTGGCTACAGACAAATAGGCAAGGTTTAAATAATAATAATGGCTTCCATTTCCAGGCACTGTGTTGGTTTCCTAAGTTAGCCTTTATCACACTGAATTGGAATCTCATTGTCTGTCTTCTGTTTCTGTCCCTGGACCAAAACCCCAAGTTGGGGCAGCCATGTTTGCATCTCCCGTACCTGCACATTGGATGCCATCTTGGTACTTGTGCTGACCCTCCCAGCAACTGCAAAACATAGGTTATCATCACTTCCATTCTGCAGCTGGAGAGGTGAAGTACCTTCCCCAAGATGTGGAACCAGGATCCAAACTGCTGTGTTGGGTTGAAAGCTCACAGGAGCTGGGGAGCCAGAGGCGTGGCTCTTCTTTGTCTTCTTAAAAGTCAACCTGGAGCGGTGTCTTTTTTTTCCAGGCTCTTTCGTCTTTCTTGAATCTCACTGTTCTTCATATCCTAATCATTTCTCCAGTGGCAGCAGAGTCTCACAGACCAGATAGGGGATGGAGAAAGGGAAAAGAGAAACTTCTCTGTGAAGCTTGGTTTTATTTGACCCAGGGGTAAGACTTAAGGCAAAAGATAGTTTAGGGGTCTTTAGTCAGTGTCAGTCATGGGAATCAGGCCATCATTTTCTGCACTTTTTCTTCTAAAGGGAAATGAAGTTTGGTCTCATTCCTATCTTGGGGACCTTGCAGTCCCAAGTTAGGAATGATTCCAGCAGGGAGGTTGGAGATATAGATGTTAAAAGCCTGAATTAAATCACCGTTTGCATTGTTAACAAACACGAGGAATGGGTGGTGGTGGTGGGAGATGGTGGTGAATGAAGAGGGTGATGTTTTTAGTTATAAGTCAGGGATGGGCCAGCTTCTCCGTCCAGGAAGTTTCCAGGAGGAACTGGGTGTCTGTGCCTGGCTCGTGCCAGAACAGCCCCTTCCCTTCCTCACCATCCCCACCTCCCGAACTGGGTAGGCCACCTGGCTCTTCCCTTTGCTGTCCCTGAAGCTCCCTAACAGGAAATGCTCCTGGCTCCTTTTAGGCCTTTCTCTTTCTGAGATGGAGGTGGGAGGGAGAGAAGAAGTGTTTAAAGTTGGGGGTTTGCTTTTGTTGTTTGTGGTCTTATTATTACTGCCTTTGGAAGATACTGGGATGAACCAGAATCAGCCCCTCATCTGTACTGGATACTTCAGATGGTCTTCCCCTTGAGAAAAGAGGAAGGGAGAAAAGGGAACAGAATCCTGGGTGGCATATCTGCCCTCCCGTCTTCTGCAGATCTCTGCTCTAGACTCACTCCAACCCACGAGAAGCTCCAAAGTGTTTTTGTTGGGAAGCGAGCTCCCCACTTGGGTTTTCCAGATCATGATGACTTATGATGATGCAGTCACCGCTATCCAGGGCGTACTTGTACATACAGTGTATGGAACTCTTAAGACCTTGAATTTTGGACCTGAAGAACAGACAGAAGAGGGATCTAACTTATTTTAGGCACCCGGAGATCTAGGATTTTAGGCTGGAGAGAGGATAGCAAAGTGTGAAACTGTAGAAAAGCTTTATTAGATATTTTTGTAAGTAGCCAGGCAGATGAATCTACCCCAGATTTAACACTGGTTATGTCATTCCTTGGCTGGAAAAATCTGCAGTGGCTCCACAACATTGCCCCCTACCCCCAACTTTTTTTTTTTTTTTTAACTTTCCATTGAAGTATAACGAAAAATGGCATATCCTAAACTGGGTGAACTTTCACAGGATGAGAATACACATGGTAGTGGGATCCAGACCAAGAAATAGAACCTGACTAGCATCTCAGAGCTGCTGAGACCCTTCCAAGCACTTTCCCCAAAAAGGTAGCCAGCATTCTGACTTCTTTTTATTTATTTATTTTTATTTGACAGAGAGAGAGAGTGAGATCACAAGTAGGCAGAGAGGCAGACTCCCTGCTGAGCAGAGAGCCCGATGATGCGGGGCTCCATCCTAGGACCCTGAGATCATTACCTAAGCCAAAGGCAGAGGCTCAACCCGCTGAGCCACCCAGGCACCCCAGTATCTTGACTTCTCGTAGCACAGATTTGTTGTGCCTTTTTGCACTTTATGTAAGTGGAATTCTACAGTACATGCTCAGTTGTCTGACTTGTGTGTTGCTCGACTGTGTCTCATAGATCCCCCATTCTCACTGCTGTGTATGTCCTGCTGTGTGACTAGTCTGAGCTGTACGCACCCATTCCCCTTGTCTTTTTTTTTTTTAATATTTTATTTATTTTATAAGTAGGCAGAGAGACAGGCAGAGAGAGAGATAGGAAGAAGCAGGCTCCCTGCTGAGCAGAGAGCCCGATGCGGGACTCCATCCCAGGACCTTGAGATCATGACCTGAGCCGAAGGCAGAGGCTTTAACCCACTGAACCACCCAGGTGCTCCACCCCTTGTCTTTTCAACTGAGTATAACTGTCTCCCCCTGGCCTTCCAGGCTCTCCATAATAGGGCCCCTTTGCTCCCAACTACTCTCTGTGCCTGCCCGCCGTCCCCACCAGATGGAACCTCTGATCATTCCACTGACCTCCCCACTGACGCCGTGGGGGGCACTGACACTTCAGGATCCTGGAGATACAAAGGTGGGGACTTCTCTTTTTTTTTTTCTTCTCTTTCCTACTCTTTTTTTTTCTTTAAAGATTTTATTTATTTGACAGAGAGAAATAGCCAGAGATGGAACACAAGCAAGGGGAGTGGAAGAGGGAGAAGCAAGCTTCCTGCCAAGCAGGGAGCCCAGTACGGGGCTCGATCGCAGGACCCGGGGATCATGACCTGAGCCAAAGGCAGACACATAACGATTGAACCACCCAGGCACCCCTCCAGTTCCTGCTTTTGAGTTCACCATCTGTAGGATATGGACTCTTTCCTTTCATTTCTGGGACTTTACTCTTGCTGCTTCTCTGGGTCTGGGATGCCCTTGTCCTGTCATCTGAAATCCCGAGTGCACCACAAGGGGTGCCAGGTGCTCTGTGAAGCTTCCTGGGGCCCTTTTCTCTGTAACCTTTCTCGAGGTCCACAGCACACTATTAACACCCTCTTACAGCCCTTCCTGCAGGGTGCTTGGCCTTTCGGACATTTGGGAACTTACCCGCCCTCTTTTACTTGACTCATTTCTTTGAGATGGTGCTGTATTTTCTCTTTTTTAAAAAAAGCAATCCCTCATATCTAGTATAGTTACTTACACAAAATTTGTGCTGAATAATTATCAGATGGAATTCAAGAAGGGAAGCCAAGTCCTTACAGCTTGGGAAGCAGGGGCTTTGTGGGCAGGCGAGGCCTTCTTCTGGGGGCAGGGTGGCCGTGGCCAGGAGGATGTGTTGTAGAGAGCACTGGCCTTGGAACCACCAGACCTGAGCTCTCTGCCCTTTGTTTCTTCTCTTTGTGAACTTGGGCAAATGATTAACCCTTTGAAAGATTGATTTCTTCATATGTAAAATGTGGCATGGCTATTGCTGTTTTGCAGGGCTGTTGTAGTGTGAGATAAGATTTGTGAACATTCTTTATGAACCATAAAGCTCATCTCACCTTATGTGAGATAAGGCATGTTCCCGCCCAGCGGCCCCAGTGCTGAGGCCTTGTTAGTGTTGCTTGGAGACCCGCCGTCCATCCTCTCCACTTTGATTGCATCGCTGCCCGCCCCATAACTCCTGTGGTTACTCACTGTTAAACGTAGTCCCCAGGCTGTGGGGTTGCATATATGCCCCACCACACACAAGCCCCTCAAGGACTAGGCAGCATGTCCTTCATCTCCACCACCTGTGCCTGGCTTGGGATCCAGTTCTGTGAAAATGTTTGATGAATGAATGACAGGCTTCACCTGGCTGGGGCACAGCTGTCTTATGAGCTGAGCTTAGTGCCATTTAGAATTTCTGCTCCTTGCCTCAGAACTTGATCGGAAGGAAAATCACAAATGGAAGGGTCTTTGTCAGGAGTCCTCTGGCTTGTTGACTCCCAGACGGGTGTGTCACAGGTCACTCTGCTCCCTGAAAGGTGGGACCTGCTGCTGAGGCTGAGCACAGTCTGCCTTCAAGCCTGCTTTATTCCTACCCTTATCTCTTCATGTCTTCCAGAGAAATATTTCTGAAAAGACCAGACAACATCCAAGAATTTTCTGCAGGTAAGGCAATGTCTGTTTTGGGTGTTTGAGAAACCAGCCCGAGGAGTATTATTGCAAATTTAGACTTGGACAAGCCCACAATTCTCCCTACAGAGTTTGGGGGTACTTCTTCACTTGATGTGGCCCTGGGGAGCTCTTTTCAGAAGGCTCTTTCCACCGTTGTCATTTCCTCCAAATGAGGACAGATAAGAAATGAGGCAGAGCTTCCTTATGGTGAGGATTAAGGATTTTGAGACTCCCAAAGGAGCAGAAGGGCAGCTCTTCTCCCTGGGACTCCTGAAGTGGGGTTCCCCACCCTGGCTGCACATTAGAATCACCTGGGGAGCTTTTAAGAAATGCTGAAGTCTGGGCCCACCCCCAGAGGTTGGTATTTAATTAGCCCAGGGTGAGGGGGGCAGCCCCATGGTTGTAAAGGTCCCCAGGTGATCTTAATGGGTTCCACTGCCCCAACTGGCTTAAGGTCACTGGTATTTAGAGGGAAGGGCCGGGTGGGAGGCTTTCTTGGGGCCTGTTAGCCCAGGGAGCTGGTGACGGACACACCGTTTCTAACTGAATCTGGTGCGTCTTTGCAGCGCCAGCAGATACTGCCTCTGATTCACATTATGCCGGGTGTATAAAAACCATCCTCTGTCGTCATCGTGTGAGATCCTGGCTCTCCTCTGAGAGGATATTCTCAGAGAGGAGAGGGCGTGAGAGCTCAGAGACAAGCTGGCAAGCTGAGCTGAGACGAGAATAACACTTGGCATTTATTTGGGCCCCAGGATGGGCCGGGAGCAGCAAACCCAGAGATCCCTCAGCCCTCTGATGGCTCCCCGTGCGTCAGCAAGCTGATGAGCTGCCGGCTGGTGTGGCCGGGCCCGGAGCCATCCTGTGTCAGCCCCTCCCGGGAAGGCGGGAGCTGGCAGGCTCAGCACTACTCCGGGCGGAGATGGCGACCACGGGATCTGCTGTGACTTCTGTTACTTGTTGGAAAGCAGGGCCGCCAGGAACAGGCCTGCTGAGGCTGAGCCAGCCTCGATTTTGAGCCGAGTGAGCGGTCTCCCTCCCTGCCTTCTCCCCTTGGGTTTAGATAATTTCTTCTTTTCGATTCTCATCCCAGACTATTTCACGGATCCAAGACTTCCCAACAAGATTCACATGCAGCTAATTAAGGAGAAGAAAGCGGCTTAATTAGCAGAATCAGGATGCTCAGCTGTTGAGAGAGACCAGGAAGAATCCAGCCTCAGGGTGGGTGTTAACCTCGCTTACAGACAGAGGCTGCTTTGCTCTTGTCAAAATAAAGTCTGGGCTTCTCGGCCCAGGGTGTGAAGGAAACCAGAGGGAGAAGCGGCAGAGAAGTTTCATGCAAAAGTGTTTCGTTTTCTTGACACTATTTTGGGGAATTAGGGGCTGTGAAGAGTGGCCCGGGGTTTGTCTGGCATGTCCATGGCAGGAAGAGACATCTGTCTTCTGAGCCTGGTGGAATGGAGTCGGAGAGTGGAAGCGGAACCGTGTGGGAGTGAGGAGTGAGGAGTGGCAGGGAGACGGGGGTGGGACCCACTGGTATCCAGACCCCACTGTCAGACTGTGGAATACTGGAATAGCGAGCACTCTCGCAGATGGCCTTTTCCTTCTGTCGCTGGTGCGGGGAGCAGAGGGGGTTCCCATTGCTTCTGGAAGGGGTGGGAACAGTTTCCCTCGCAGCACCTTGGACGAGGGACTTTCCTGTTACCCGTCCTTTTCAAACCAGGCTCTGCCCAGGAGGGTCGTCTCCCATTTTTCAGGCAGGATGATTTCTGAAAAAAATCTTACGAGGTGGGAAGAAGCCACGTTCCTGGTGTCACCGCACCGTTTGTATTTTGCAGGGTCACCTGGAAGCAAGGGAGCCGTGTTGCCATCAGAGTGGGGTCCCAAGCTACCTTGGGCCATATCTGCTGTTGCAAAGGCTTTTAAAGATATTCATTAAAAACAGACCTTTCTAGTCTCTCTGCTGTGTTTCACTCAGAGGAGGAAGCCATCCAGTAGGGAGGGCTGCTGCGCCCCTCCTTGGACCTGCTGGGCAGCAGGGCCGTCTCTCCATCTGCCGCAGCCTGTGGGCCTCCACTAGGGCAGCAGGCTGCTCCCACGTGTGCCTCACACTGTGTCCTCCCTGCCCCTCCAGGCCACTTGCTCCCAGAGCTGAGGCTGGAGGAGAGAACAGGGGTGGGGACTCTGTGAGGCCCACAGCTGATTGGGGCGGCCCTGAAGCCGAGTCCACGTTTTAGCACGGTGCCCCCCCGCCCAATCTTCCCTCCCATTTACCGTATGGCGTGTACAAGCAGTGGTTTAACTTTTCTATCAGCGATAATAGCAATGGGGCTGGAGGGACTGCGAGAAAATGAGACTGGACAAAGAAAACCCATTTGGGGTCCTGCATTTTGTGAATTATAAATCTAACGGGTGACTCAGAGGTGGTGGGCTTTGTTCTTGAGGATTTTTACCAACAAGCTGCCCATCTGTTGTTTGCAGCTAACGGGCAGGGGAGGGGGCCAGTTGGCCTTTGACATCCTTTCCAGTCCTGGAAGGCATGAATGTCTTCTGTGCTTGTGCCCTACCTCTCTGGTCTCCACAACCCGCTGTGTGAAGGACCTCTCACACCTCTCCAGTCCACGTCACCAAGGCAATGGAGGCACAGCCCAAAGCAGGGGCTGTGCTTTCTCTCTCTGCCCCTTGTCTCTGTCCATCTCGTCCCCGGCTACCAGCCCCTCCATGGTGGAAGGGCCACAGAGCCGGGCCTGGAGAGGACTAGTAAAGCGATACCTAATAAGCTATGCAGCAGGAAACTGAAGAGTTATTTCAAGTGCTTTCAGAGTCACACTTCAGCAGCTATGGCTCTGGCAGTGAGCTACCCCTGCTTAGAAAATCAAGATGAAGCTGTCAGCGGAAAACCCATGTGTAGTAAGGACCTCTGATGTGAAGTGTTAAATTAGAATCTCTTGAAAGCTTTCCCGGGAAGGGAGGCCTGCATCAAGGTGGGGAGAGGGCAGTGTTTTCCAGATGCTCGTGTGCATGATGTGATACCGCAGGAGGACAGTGGTTCATTCTTGGAAGGTTTCCTGGCAGAACTAAGAAATACATTTTGACTAGAATAAATTTAAAAGCCAAGGAAAGCTTGTATTTAGCATGTGGTCCTAGAGCATCTGCTCTGTTCGACATTGCACACTGGGGCCAGAGGGTCAGGTGTGGAGGTCATCCTGCCACGAGCTGCTTGACGGTCTGGGAGGAGATGTGCACCTTTCTCCCCAAGCGTGAACTGTCCTGATAGCTCACCTTGTAGATGGAAAGCACCATCAGAGCAGGGACCAAATCTAAAAATCGGGCTTATGTCTGGCATGTAGTAAGTGCTCAGTAAGCATCTGTGGAGGGAATGAATGCTTATGTAATGGAGCAAGCGATCATGTTGCATCAGCCGCTACAAAGACTTATAAAATCACAGAGCTGTGATGGGTGTAGGTACATCTAGAGGAGGAGGAAGAAAGGATACCGGCTCTACCTTCAGGAGTGAGGGCGGCCCCAGAGAAACTGGCATGGGATGGATGGGAAAGGGTTTGCCAGATGGATGTGGAGGGTGGCATGGGGGGCCAGGGTACTGCAGGTTCTCCACTTTGCTTAGCAGGGGGGTGGTAGCAGACCGTGTATGTCACCGGCTCATCCTTCTTACCCCTTTCTTCCCTGCTGACCATACACGAGCTTTGTTGAGGGCAGCACTGGGCTCAGCCCCAAGTGGTAGATGGTATTTATCCTAAGCCAAGCGTGGCAACCACATTCCCTGGTTTCCCAGCCTGCCTTGCAGCAAGGGGCAACACGGGTCAAGGTGCACTGTGGGTTTCTAGAAAAGCTTGGAACCTTCGGTGGAACCTTCCCTTTTCCCACCTTTCTTCCTGTTTTAAGCCTGAAAGTGAGGTCTAGAGCCGAGTGGCCGTAGTAAGGCCATGAAGGGACAAGTAGGGTGGCTGAGCCAGTCCTCCAGAGTGGCAGGGAGCAAAGATCAAAAGACTGAGGGCCTGGTGGCATCTTTGAGCACTTGAACAACCAAGCAAACGCCTGCCTTCAGACTTCCTGACAAGTGAGAAAAATACATCTCTCATTTGTTTTAAAAGCACACCAAGAGTTTAATCCTGACCCACCACTTACCAGTTGTGCGGCCTTGGCAAAGCTGCTTAACTTTTTTGAGGTCAGGTTTCTCAGTCTAGAAACCGAGACATGTAATTAGCAGCTCCTGGGGCTGCTGGGTTAGGAATAAAGAAGGGACAGTGCCAGGCACGTGGGCAGTGTTCATAGGAGGGTCTGACTGGAGGTGAGAACAACGCAGGGATGAGAGACCCGACAGGAGGAAGATGGACCCGCCACAAGGAGCATCACACATGAGACCCAAGAGGCTGATCTTCACCATCTGGGCAACAGAGAGCCAGCAAAAACTTTTAAGCCAAGAAGAGTTCATGAAGAGATTCAGAAAGTGCCAGAGTGTGGAAGAAAAACTAGAGGAAGCTCCGACTAGATGTGGAAAGACCTGTGGCCCCAGCCCGCACCGTCTCTCCCGGCCCCTCTGCAAGGCCCCTCCGAACTCCCATCTTAGCAGGCCTGTGCCCAGGCCTGCCCGCTGTCAGCGGAGAGCCCACTGCACCTGGGAACAGAAAACCCAGTTTATGGCAGCTGACGCAAATAGAGGGTTGTTTTTCTCACCCGATAGAGTGTCTGGCTATAGGCAAGATTCAGAGGTTCAGTGGTGAACACAAGGACCCAGACCAGGCTTCCATCCCTTCCACTCATCCGGCTGTAGCATGTGGCCCCACTATTGTGAGGTGCTGCTTCTGTTCTCCAGTGGGGAGAAGGTGGCAGAGCTGCACCAGCCAATTCTGTCCCTTTTTGTCAGGAAAGCCAAGTTTCCCCAAATGTTCTCTCCACCTGCATCTCACAGGACAGACTTGGGATCCACCTAAGTGTTCCAGGGATGGGGAAAAGGAACATTTAACTCTAGCTTCTAGAGAAGGCGGTGTCCGGAGAAGAGTGGGAATTGCTGTTGGGTTAGCCCCAAAGCAGCGTCTGTGCTCACCAGTTCCTTCTACCTGCCCCTGCCTGTCCCTGCCTGTCCCTGCCATTCCCCCAAAAGAATGACCTTTTAAGAAACCTAAACCAGAGGGGTGCCTGGGTGGCTTGGTCGGTTGTGTCCAACTCTGGATTTTGGCTCAGTTCGTGATCTTACGGGTCCTGGGATGGGCTGTGTCTGTCGGGCTCCACCCTTGGCCGGGAATCTGCTAGAAGATTCTCTCCTCCCCCTCCCCCAATTGGTGTGCCCCCTTTTGCTCTCTCCAGTAAATAAATCTTTAAAAAAAGGAAAGAAAAAGAGAAAGAAAGGAAGGAAGGAAACTAAATCAGAGTATGTCACTCTCCTGCCAAAAACCGTTCCATGGTCTTCCAGGCACTTAAATCCAGATGGCTTTCTAGGGGCCTCAGAGCTTTGCAAGACCCCCTCCATCTCTCAGACGTTTTCTGCCCCCTGCCTCCCACCTGCCTGCGTTCCAGACACACAGATCTTTTCTTCCTTCCTCAGACATGCCAGCGGAGTTTGGAGTTCCAGAGTTAGGGTCTTCGAACTCTGCCTGCATTGTTCTTCCCCAGGTCTTCACAAGCCTAGGGGGCCCAGCTGGGATGCTCTTGTCTGAAAGGAAGCCTCTTGCTAAGGGAGCAGGACTTACTTTTCTCAAACGGCAAGTCTGTAGTGTCAGTTTAGGGCCTTCCTCTGCGGTTTCTTCCTTTTCCCTTGTGGTCGAAGGCTGAGCAGGAAGGGACTGTACCAGCGATACTTGTCTTTCTTTTCTGGAAAGCAGATCTTCCCCCAGTAAACCCCTCTACCTCTGCCAACTCCCACTAACACCTCTTTGGCCAGACCTGTGTGCATGGCCGCCTTTAAGGGAGGCTGGGAAGATGAGTATTTAGCCAGCCAACAGTGCCGTAGAGAGCTTCTTGTCACTTCCTCGGAGTCCTTTCCTAGAGTTCCAGACATTTTTAATATTTAAACATCCACGCTCTGCCTCTGCCATCTTCTCTTATATCATTCTGTCTTTTTCACAATACCTGTCGCTGTCTAATGTGATCTTGTTTGCTTGTTTTTCTGTGACTGTCTGTATCTGGACTTGAGCTGTGGTGAGAGCTGGCCTGGCCAGCCATGTTGGTCACTGGTGGCCCGGCACCTACAGCTGCCCAGAGTGCCCTTGCTGAGTGAAGGCTGAGCCATGTGCCTGGGCCCAGTCTGTGAAGGGGCATGGGGACAGGAGATGGAGTCTCATATTTGGGAGGAGAGCAGGCAGGATTGTGGTTTGAATGGGGGGGGG